CTCAAATTCACATTCGCACCCGCACTCTCGACGTCGATGTCGTGGAACATATAATTTATTTACTCTTTTTTTATTTCACTGCCGTTATGCGTAGTTATTTATTGTTGTTTGCGTTTAACTCCTTTCATTTTTCTCTTTCAAATTGAAAATAGTTGGAAAAAAGAAAATGAAATACTGTACCTTCTTAAAATAAAGCATCCTTTTTATGAATGACTAGATGGTTGAACGTCGTTCAACTTATCCCTACCCTGGTTACATCACTACGATAAAGTGAAGAATTTAGATCATCCCGGGTAGTTATTTCACAGATAATAAAGAAGCATTGAGTCACTAGAGAGCGTGGGCGTCAATGTATTCGTTGACACCAACACTCATTACATATAGAGCTACCCATCGTCATTTGTATGATCGAAACGATGTACAGTATTTCATTTTCTTTTTTCCAACTATTTTCAATTTGAACGAGAAAAATGAAAGGAGTTAAACGCAAACAACAATAAATAACTACGTATAACGGCAGCGAAATAAAAAAAAGAGTAAATAAATTATATGTTCCACGACATCGATGTTGAGAGTGCGGGTGCGAATGTGAATTTGAGTGAATCTTCAATTCAACCCTATGCACTGCCACATGCTACATCCATAACCTCATTAGACTCACAAGCTGAAGTACTGAAAAAGTATATACTAATGTCCAAACATTGTTTAGAAGATAATACGATGATTCAAAATAAGGACTTATTCACTGCCGCACTTCAGATAAATTTTATTATAATTTATTCAATGAGATATCATGAACAACGATGAAGCAGAATAAATCTCTACTCAAAATTTAGTGATGGACAATACAACTGTTTAAACATGAGAAACAGATGCTTATATGCATCATATTATATACCACGTGATAAGCAGTTATGATTTTTCATTTGAAGAACTTTACAAGTGCATTTCTATTGGCTAAATTCATTATTGACTTCAAATGGTACGTCAACAACTATATTTGACTGAAAATCTTACACTTACCGAAAGATTCATCTTTTGTAATATGCTGTTTTGTTTCTAGTCGCAGTATATCTGATCGAAGTATTTCATCATTTATTTCTTCCAAATCAATCTCGTCAATGTTAAAATCATTATTATATGATACATCATTCACACGTAGACGAGTACCTGGTAACAGGACAATCTCAGTTTCATTGCTATTACATGAATATGCTGATATATCTTTACCATTGAGGATTTTAATATTTAATAGAGTCGACTTTTCGCCCAACAACGAACAAACGATATCATCTGGCGTTTGTGTACATGATGTGATACCCCACCAAGTAATTATTTTATTCTTTGGATATTTGTCTTTAATTTGCTAGTTATTCCTTGAAAAACATGCCCTTTGACAGAAGGCAATTTGTTAAGAGCTGAACAAATTAGTCCGAGGTAGTTAAACCAATATTTCTTGAGATCAGTTTGATCTTGACATCGCAATACTCGGTTAAACATAAGACTGAAACTTTCGTTATTAAGCTGCATAGTGTACAAATATATAGCTGCTGATTCGTCAACAGTAAGATTTTCTGAAGAAGGCATATTGACGCGTTTTTTTGCATGCCGTATATAATCATCCAAGCGAGGAATAACATTTTTAATCGGATTGAGAGCTTCTTCTAGTGTTAAATTCCGCTTATTTTGATAGCCTTCGATAGGTTTTAATGCCTGATTTTCACAGTCGACGTCAGTGAGCCGAATAATAAAACTGTAGGTGTAACCTATAATAATATTAATTCTTATATTATTTATTTAATTTGAGTTTGAATAAAAAAAACCACACTCTCATACTATGTACATAGTAGTCGATATCATAGAAACTATTATTGATAAGGTAAACAAAATTTCATAGAGATATCAAGGATCACTCGAAGAGATTAAAAGTGTGATGGTTTTAACAACGACGAACTAATATGGTAATGAATGCAAGTACTCTGAAGTCGAACAGGCAAAACTGTACTTATATTAGTGAATGAACTGAAATCATTTAGCCAAAATATTTTCTTCCATTTTCTATTCATGAAAGGAATTTCAGATAAGTAAAAGAAAGCGTAAAGGAAAACGACAATTCTGTACTCTTTGCAACCATAAGATCACTAATTTTCTCTTAGATTTAGCTCTCGAAGCATCAGAACTTTTTTAGAAAGTTTTAAAACATGTATAGACAAGCAACTATTCTATTATTTTCCTTGCTTCCATTATCATTCCAAAAATATTTAAAATTTCAAGACTTTATTGACACATCATTTTTAGAACATGGTCTGTTCTGCAGAACCTACAATTTCATGCTTTTTTGATTTTTCTGAAATGAGCCCGAACTTTACTTTTTGCATTGAAAAAAATTGAACTAACAGGAGTGCATATTATCAATCAGCAGTTTCGCTAGAATTTACATGGTTTCTCAGTCACGCCTAAACGAAATAAATACTTTCTCTAAGCTGAACTTCTCTAGGCTGCCAAGACACAATGCAACGGATCCCTCTTCTTCTCGTACCTATGATCATTCGAAACTTGTTTATCACCGTAGAGCGAAAACTCATAATATATTTCCAACCTCAACTTCGAGACCGATGAAGTCTTGATTGCCACTAACAGCCCGCCATCCTTGAGAATGACATTTCAACTGCTCCGAGAAGAGTCGACATTAAACCTAAACATTTTGAAGCCACGCCTTCCAAACATCGAACATTCATATTACACTGGAGCCTACTAATCCTCTCACCATCAAAATAGGGCTTGTTCACTGCATCTATTCCTCACACGCATACGCGAACGAAATGTTCCCATCATCGATCTATTACCTCCTACTTCTTCCAAGACCACGCGGCCTTCTATCACACTTCTGAAGCTTACTTGCTGAAGTCCTTGCCTCCTCAAACAATGACGACCAAGACAGGAATCACGTACTCTAGACTTCGCATAAACGCCTATGTTAACCGATACCTCTCACAAGTTCCTACGTACTATTCTTTTCATATTCTGCACTTTGATACTCGTCATTCTTCGGTTTCCGTGACTATCTAATCTGATAATACATATTATTATACTTCATCCAGCAAAAACTTCCATTATTAAGATACATTCAATTCACCCAAGACCTACATTCATAACTACTAGAAATATATTTCGTCGAAGCTGCAGATTGATCAACAGGATCCTTTGTACGGGATTCAGATGTATATGCATACTTGTTATCATTAGATTTCATTGAAGAAGACGATTCATTATCATTACTCTTCAGGGTCAAGGCAGACGTATATCCATAATGGTTATCATCAGATTTCGTTGGAGAAGATAATTCATTATAATGGCTCTTGGTGGTCGATACAGACGTATATCCATAATGGTTATCACTAGATTTCATTGAAGAAGACGATTCATTATTATCACTTTTTGTGGTCAATGGATATGCATGTGTATAATGGTTATCATTAGATTTCGTTGAAGAAGACGATTCATTATTATTACTTTTTGTTGTCAATGGATATGCATGTGTATAATGGTTATCATTAGATTTCATTGAAGAAGACGATTCATTATTATTACTTTTTGTGGTCAATGGATATGCATGTGTATAATGGTTATCACTAGATTTCATTGAAGAAGACGATTCATTATTATTACTTTTTGT